CGGACCGGTCTCTATATGGGATCCGAACCCTCGGCGGGAGTGCCGCCGTGCTCCCAAGCACTGCACTCTACTGAGTACGCCACCGGGCCGGCCCAGAATTTTTTTTTTTTTCCTTTTTGTCTTTTTTCGTGACTGGCAACGGGATCGCAACCCTCGGTGTCGCATCCGCACTGTGCTCAACCAGTGAGCGGACCGGTCTCTATATGGGATCCGAACCCTCGGCGGGAGTGCCGCCGCGCTCCCAAGCACTGCACTCTACTGAGTGCGCCACCGGGCCGGCCCGAGAATTTTTTTTTTAAATGGGGCATCTTCCATGTTGTGTTGCTAAGGGAATAGTAGTGACAAAGTGTTCCCTGTGCTGTGGCACTCACCTGCCTTGTGGGAAAGAGGTGAGTGTGATGTAAGGGCCTATCGGTTGTGAAGACTTAGTTTAGGGGGCCAGGCATCACAATTGCATGGGAGCACAGATTCCTACTGAGCCAGAACTGCTGGGCCTGGGCCTGGGAATCTGCATTCTCAGAACCCCCTCCCCCAGAAGACTTGGATGGACACCGGGTAGGACAATGTGGGGTGTGTACGACATGCTCTCCCTAGGTTCCCAGCTGCCACATGGAACCCTGTTGTCACACACCTGTTGGCTTCATCCTTCCCCGTTGAACTGTCCCTTTCTACCTATGCTTCCCGGGATCACCTCCCAAAATTGCACCAAAATCTGATTGTGGGGAACTCAGAGTAAGACACACACTGAAGTTTGAAAGCTCCCAGCCAGCGGGCCAGGAGAGGCCTCTCTGAAGACACAGTGTTTGGGCCGAGTTTTAAAGAATAAGAGGAATTAGCCAGAAGAAAAGGTGAGGAGAAGGGGTGAGCTCATTCCAGGCAGACCAGACAGAACAGCCTGGCAAAGACCTGAGGCCAGCAGGGGGCACAGGGTCCCAGGAGCTGCAGAAGCCAGCCTGACTGGAGCTCGGGGTCTAAGGATCCAGGAGAGGGGACTTGAGGTGAGTGGAGCCACAGTAGGGAATTCAGACTTTATCCTAAAGGCCATGAGGGACCACAAAAGGATTTTAAGTGTAGGGGAGAAGCTGGGATGAGTTGACATCTAGGGAAACTGAGGCTCAGAAGTAGTGTGGGACTTATCAGAGATCGCAGAGTGAATGTATCTGTTCAAGTCTGTGCTGAGAACCAGCCCGTGGGAAGGTCGCCAGTGAGCTGCCTACCTAAGATTTCTCTGATTAGGGCAAATGCTTTCTGTTCCTTGAGGTTAGCGGTTCTCATCTTCTCCAGGGCAGCGACGAGCGGAGGCCGGTAGACATCCTTGCTGCTGTTTCTCCGTGCTCGGAACAAGGCCTGGGGGTCTGTGGAAGCAAGGACACCAGGGCAGTCCCCCAAGCGGGCAGCAGAGCCAGGCTCTATGTCTGCCACCAGAAGACCCCTCTCTCAGCAGGTGCAACCAGCTCCACCATTTCTCTTCCTTGGGAGCCGTTTCCCAGCTCCACCCTCCACGCCTCTGCCCACGCCATCCCAGGACCAGGAACCCCGTCTGTCTGTCCCTCCATACGTCAGTATCTGGAGAAGGCTCCCATAACAAAGAACAACCGTCCTCCCCTCCCTGAAGTCCTCCTGACTCCTGGACTGACTTCCCCAACATTTACAAAACTTTGACCAATTCGAGGGTGAAGTCCTTGAGGACTATTTCAAAGTCCTGTCGTGTGGACCTCCAAGTATCCTCCTTTTCAAACCACTCAATTGAGTTATCATTTTCATAACATTCACCCATTGGAAGTCTACAATTCGAAGATTTTAGGAAATTTATAGAGTTGTGCAGCTGTCACCACGATCCAGTTTTAGGACATTTTCTTCACCCCAAAATGTTCCTGTGTGCCCCACTGAAGTCAGTGTCCACTTGCTCCACCCCACCCTCAGCCCCATTCACCTGCTCTCTGTCCCTATAGATTTTCCTCCTTTGAATATTTCATGTAAGTGGAAACATACAGCACGTAGTTCCTTGTATCTGGCTTCTTTCACTCAGCATCATAGTTTGGAGTTCAGCCCCATCGCTGTGTGTATTTGCAGTGAGTTCCTACTTACCGCTGGGCAGCACTCCACTGGAGGAACAGAATACGTTTTGTTTATCCACTCAGCAGTGGATGGCCATTTGGATCGTTTCTAGTTTTGTCTGTCGTGAACAATGCTGCTCTGAATGTTCATGTGCAGGTGTTTGTGTGGACACATATTTTCATTTTTCTTGGGTAGGTTCCTAGGAGTGGCCAAATATCTTTCGGCTATTACAAATGAGGCTGCTATGAACATTCGTATGCAAGTCCCTGCTTGAAAATAAGTTATCATTTCTCTGGGATAAATGCTCAAGAGTACAATCTCTGGGTTGTATAGTAAGTCTGGTTTGGGTTTTGAAGAGAACTGCCAAACTATTTTTCAGAGCGGCTGTACCATTCCCACCAGCAGTGCACAAGTGCTCTGGCAGCTCCCATCCCTGCCAGCGTTTGGTGCATTACTATTTCTCAATTTCTCATGTCAGCCATTCTGACAGGTGCGAATTGATCCAACTAGCTTTTGGATCCATGCCCTATGTCCACCCAACCAACAGCATCTGTTATCTCTAGCCTGGACCCTTACAATAGCCGCCCGACTGACCCCTCCATTTCCACTTTTGACCCAGTACCTCAGGTATCATGCCACTCTCTGACTCAACACCTTCCAAAACCCCAGCATTGCCCCAGCCCCTTCAAGGCACTGCGCAACCCA